GGCTTCCTGTGGTGCAAACTATTCCTGTGGGCTCGACTACTAACCCAAAGGCTGGTGGTTCATACTCCCCACGAGGTACCTTAATAGAAGTCCTGAGATCTCATTTCAAAACGCCCAGGGCAGACACAGCGTGAGAAATGGCCCAGCCCTCCCAGGAAATGAAAACAAAACAAAAAGTCACAGACATAGAAAACACGAAGGAGCTGTTTTCCTCTGAGACATGTGGTGTCACCATGAGTCAGAATATGAAGGAATCCTTTTTCGTAACGAGTCATCTGAGGATTTCCTCGGTAGCCTTCAAGGTCTGACCCCTGCCCACATCCAACGGGCGGGGCTTGGGTGCAGGCGCGCATGCTCACGGGAAGCGCTGACTCGGGAAGTGCGGCCGCCAGGGGGCGCCGTCGAGCCGCACCTGCCCTTCCGGTTCCCAGAGGCCCGGACTAGGAAGCAGAAGGGCGGGCTTAAGCTCTCGGCGCAGGCGCACTTCGTACTGACTCCGCCAAGATGGCGCCGGTGGAGCACGTTGTGGCCGATGCCGGGGCTTTCCTGCGGGACGCGGCTCTGCAGGTACGGAGAGCACGGGCCAAAGGAGCAGAGCCAACGTTGGCGGCCGCTGAAGACACACATAAAGGCGGCCTTGGGTTTAGGTGTTGTGGGGGGGGAGGGTCTGAGCTGGGCCGATTTCTCCGCAGGACATCGGGAAGAACATCTACACCATCCGGGAGGTGGTCACCGAGATTCGGGACAAGGCCACCCGCAGGCGGCTCGCAGTCTTGCCCTACGAGCTGCATTTCAAGGATCCCTTCCCGGAGTACGTTCGGCTGGGTGAGTGCCTCTGACCCCGCGACGAAGCCGGCGGCCAAGGCGCAAACCAGGACGGACCTGGTCAGGGGGCGAGTTGAGGTCCGGCTGTTTAATCAGCAATTGATTTAGAAACAGCCTGCTCCAAAGAGATCGTGATGAAAGAGGCCCTGGCGCCCGCAGTCAGCCAGGTCAGGCCGTGCCTGTCACTTACTCGCAAGGTGCCGTCCGGCAAACCAGGCCGACTCTAGGCCGCTACTTTCCTCATCCGTTAAATGGGCGTAAAACCCCTCGCCGAGGTGGATGGACACCGGGGCTGCAAGAGTGGGCGCAGACACAGTTGAGGAGGGCAGGGCCAGGCAGTGTTCCGTTTGTTGCACGTAATGTTGCTATGAACCAGGAGCGACTCCCTACCACCATCAGCTTAGAGGTTGCTCTGAGCATTCAGTGAAGAATAGATGTCATTTAGCACACCTTGTAGTGTTTTCTAAGCACTCGATCCATTTGTTTGGATTCAAGATAAAAGAAACCAGATCTCTTATTCACACCCACTTCATTCCATTCTTATCCTGGTAGGGAAGGTGGTGGTGATGATTTTGGGAAATGCAAGCTAGAAAAAGGCATTTTTAGGCCTTACACTCGGCCTGAAAGAAAACTATATAAACGTATATTTTGGCTTGCAGAGCCTGTGTTAGGGACCAAAGGAAAGTTCCCTAGTGTTTGGAAATGTTTTATGGAGATATTGTTACCTAATCCTGCACTTAGCTTCTCTGCTCTGCAGGAGATGGCACTCTGTTTCTGCAGTGATTAGGCCCAGAACACCCTCTGCCAAACCCTGTGAGTCTGAAACGCCTTCAGGCCCTGACAACAGAAACCACTTTCTCCACTCACTAGGTTTGTGATCTGTGGGTAGTGAGTTAGGTAGCCTTCTGAGTCAATATTTATAGTACTTCATAGGATCTGGCTGGACGATTAGTGGAATTCCTTTGCAAATTTTGTAACACAATGCTTAGATGGCATAGGAATGCTAACCGCAAAGTCAGGAGTTCCAAACCACCAGCCACTCCCTGGGAGAAAGGAAGAGGCTTTCTACTCCCGTAAGGAGTTTCAGCCTTGGAAACTCCCAGGGGCAGTTGGTTCTAGCCTGCTCTACAGGGTGGCCGTGAGTCAGAATTGACTCGAAGGCAGTAGGTTTGGGTTCTTTGGGTTTTGCTACCAACTGGAGCCCTGGTGGAGTTCCGGGGGGTGGGGGGGGTAACTCATTGTGTTGCTAAGGTCAGCAGTTTGAAACCAGCCACTACCATGAAGAACGACGAGGCTTTCTACTCCTGTTAAAAGAGTTGCAGTCTGGGGAAACAGACACGGTTCTCCCTGTGCTGTAGGGTCTCTGAGTGAAGTGGACTTGACGCAATGGCAGGGAGTATTTTGGCTTGGTTTGGTGCACACTAAATACCTACTAAATTGTAGTAGCTATTATCATTTACATTTTAGGGTTTTATTTACTTGTTACTTGTGCCAGTGTAGCTGAGTGTGTGTCAGAAGACTATTGTGATTATTTGTGATTTCTCACGAGAGTAGCAATGCCAACATCTGGCATATAAAGAGTCCAGGTGGAACTGTGGATGAAGCAGTGGGCCACTAAAGGCAAAGTCAGTAGTGAAAACCTACCACCAGATGAGGCGGTCAGCTTCCTTAACGATTTCCAGCCTTAGACACTCTGTTAAAGGTTGCTCGCAGTTGTAATTGACCGGATGGCATTGGGTTGGCATTTACTATATGTTAAACACATGCATGGAGTTTTCTTCTTTTAAACGAAAACACCCAATATTTGTTACAAAGCAACCCAGTATATTTGTTTTGTCACACACTGTGAAGGTTGGGTTGCTGGTTGAATTAACATCCCATACCAGTTTAGCATCTGCTCATCGGTGCTTCTCATCTGGATTGTACTTAATCCCAGAAACTTGTCTGTCCCTCCCTCTGCACTCGACACGAGTGTCCCTGTCAACCTCGGAGGCACGTGGTAGACAATATGAAATGATAACTCTGGGGTAGACAGGGTTCAAGGGAGGATGGAGTATTTCTGGACATGTCAATCCTTCCCTGTGGTTACTCCAGGCCATGGAAGCCTGGCGGCACGTTGGTTAAGCATCTGGAGGCTAAGTGAAAAGTTGGTGGTTTGAACCCACTCCACTTCAGAAGAAAGAGCAGACAAGCTGCTCTGCAAAGATTTTTTTTTTCCTCGCAAAGATTATTTTTTTTAAAGAAACTCAAATTTGCTGCCATGGAGTCGTTTCCGGCTCACAGCGACCCCACGGGACAGGGGAGGACTGCCCCTGCGGGTTTCCATGGCCATCCCTCTTCACGGGAGTAGAAAGCCAAGCAAAAACCCTGTTGGGCGGCTCTGCTCTTCACTCGTGTTCTGTGAGTGGCGTGGACTGGGTGGCTAACACGCACACTCACGGCCATCTGCCTTTTGGCTTCTCACTGAGGTTGAGACTCTTGTTCACAGTGACAGAGTTTTCGAAGAAAACCGGAGACTACCCCAGCCTCTCTGCCACAGACATCCAAGTACTGGCGCTTACCTACCAGCTGGAAGCAGAATTTGTTGGGGTGTCGCACCTTAAACAAGAACCTGAAAAGGTACAGCGGGAGGTTGTGCTTCTGTCTTGTTTTTGTGGGGGCTTAATACATACATCATTCTTTAGTTCCATCACATCAAGCACTATTGTACAATTGCTATCACAGTCAATCTCGAAACATTCTTTTCCTTTCTGGACCCCTTGCCATCGGCTCCCTTTTACCCCTCCCACCGCCACTTTACCCCGTAGAAACCCTCATCCTACTTGCTGCCCCTGTAGGGTCATCGACTCTGTTCTTTAACGCAGATGTGGAAGTTGTCAGCTTCGAAACGGGGGTTCTAAGTGGCGTCCCGTTACCAGCTTCCCCAGGCACCAGCTTATGGCTGAGTCTGTGTGCCTGCACGTACCCCCCTGGGCACATGATGTCACTGACAAATCCCTCCAGGGGTTTCCCTGAAGATAAGGATTCGGTTCAGAATAACCACATGATCAAACCCCCTAAACAAAATGAACAATAATCCCTTAATATCATTAAATATCCAGAGTTACATTTCCCAATTGTTTTATAACTTTATGAACAGTTTGTTAGAACTGGAATTAGAATCCAAATTTAGAAACCAAACTAACCTGAGATTGGTGATTACAGTTTGCCAGGAATGCAGGGATGGCTGTCTGAGAGGGGGTGGGTCACGGCCGGGGGTGGGGGTGGGGGTGTAGAAAGTACAAAAGCCCCATGTAAGGGGACTTCAAACTGTGAAGAAATGGGTTTTTTAGTCAGGGTGCATGAAACACACAATACTACTGTGGTTCCTTGAGGCTTCCTCCCTCTTCCACTATCGTGACCCCAGTACTGCCTCTCACTGTGGGCTAGACCAGAGCATGTGCACAGGTAAGAGGTCACACACACACAATCCAGGAATGGGAGTAGTGATACCAGGAGGGAAGGGTGGGGGGAGCAGGGGGTACCAATCGCAATGATGGATACATAACTGCACCCCCTCCCAGGGGGACGAACAACAGAAACCGTGGGGGGAGACAGCAGTCTGTGTAAGATATGAAAATAATAATTTATCAAGGGGCCACAGTAGGGGGTGGCTGACACCAAGGGCTCAATAGAAAGTAAATGTCTAGAACGTGATAATGGCAGCATCTGTACAGATGAATGTGCTCCATACAGTTGCTGCACGGATCGAGCTGTCAGAGCCCCAATAAAGTGTTAAAAAATCATTTTTGGGGGGCTCATACAACTCTTATCACAGTCCATACGAAATGGATTTTTAAGTCATGGAGTTTTTCCCTTTTTTAAATTTTATATTCTTTTTTTTGTCATAGAGTTTTTCCATGAACCTTTTAACACCCTCTCGAACACCCCTCCCTCCCCCGCCACCCCCCGCCCCTCCACTTCCAAACACATAGACACCCTTGTGCATTCAGAACTTGGGGTCCCGGTGTTGAAGAGGCTGGTGAGTTCATACTTCAGCTTCTCGTTGGCTGTATTTTCTGTGCCAGAGAATTTTCAGGGTCCTTCATACCAGGCTCAGCATGATGCCCAAAACACACTTGAGTGTGGACAGATCTGTTGGGGAGAATGTTCTGAGGAGATTCCTGACTGGACACCATGTAACAGCTCATTGCTCTCTCCAGGGCGGCTAGAACTTGCCCTTCAGCCTCTTTGTCACAGGTTAGATAGTCTTGTTTGAAAAGTTTCAAACAGTATACCTTTGACCCTGCAATTCCACGTACAGGTATTAATTTAATTTCCCGTTTTTAAAACTATACCTTCTGTTCAATAACGGGGGAAATATCTTGCCTTTTGTTCTTGAATTGCCCTTGCATGCAAGTTTTTCACTTTTGTTTGTTTCAGGTTAAAGTGAGCTCCTCAGGTCAGCATCCGGAAACCCCACTCCTCATTTCCGGTTTCCATCTTCCCTTGAAGGTAATCTGTGTCACAAGCCAGGCTCTGGAGCTCACTTTCTGTTATTGGTCACCACCACCCCCTTGTGTAGCTCCGGTGAAGCAGACTGACCGGACTATGGCCGGTCTGTGAGCCCCGCCTGTGGCTTGCATGTCATCCGGGAGCTCGCTTGGAGCCCTCTCCGCTTTCAGCGGTTTTCTCATCATGATTCTTTTATCCTCAGCCTAAACCCCCACGAGAAACAGCAGATCATGGACCCCCCGCCAGCACACCTGAGAGCCTAGAATTCAGTTCCTTCGTGTTCTGGAGAAACCCTCTGCCCGATATTGACCGCGAACTCCAGGAGCTGCTGGTAAGACACGGTTCCCGGACTCCTGGTTACGGTACAGTTGCTTCCCCCAGCTGCTCCGGTGACTGGGAGTTTAGGAATTCTTCGTGTCTCAGCTTGACCGGGATGAGAGTGCCCCGGAAGAGGAGGACAATGGATTTGAAGAAGAGAAAGAGGACGACAGTGACGATGGTGGGGGGTGGATAACCCCCAGCAACATTAAGCAGATCCAGCAGGAGCTGGAGCAGTACCGGGTCCCAAGCAACGTGCAAGTCGGCTGCGTGACAACAGACTTTGCCATGCAGGTGAGGGGTGAGGCGGGCACAGGGGGAGGCCAGGGAAATGCACAGAGCTGTCGGGGGTCAGCCTCTGCTTCTGGACACTCCGTGTGCGCTCTGGCCATTTTTAGCCCTGCGTGGTGACAGCAGAAGGGATGTATAACGCTTGATATTCGCAGTCAGCTGGCCATCCCTTGTGTATGGTACTATGCTCAGTTAGGTACGAGGAGAGAGAGGTTCCGGCCCAGAGATGAGTGTCTTCTCTGTCAAAGCAAACGTCTAGGGGACTTGGCAAAAAGGTGAGTGCAGACGATAGCCCTCGAAGAGGAAGAAGCCTGGGTCCTTGTTCACGCATCGTGAGAGCCACCCTGAAGCCTCCATGTCCTTATCAAAAGTCCTGGGTGAGCGGAGCCGGCCCCACTGGTGAGGCTCCCCTCGGGACTGCCCTGCTGACACTGAAGAGCCCTGCCTGTCGCGCTGAGTGCTCTCACCCCTCCTGTTGGCTGCAGAACGTGTTGCTGCAAATGGGACTGCACGTGCTGGCGGTGAACGGCATGCTGATCCAGGAGGCCCGGAGTTATGTCCTGCGCTGCCACGGCTGCTTCAGGTGTGTAGCCCATCCTCGGGCCCTGCGGAAACCCCGCGGCAGGGGTTTGTATTCCATCTGTGTCTTCATGTCGTTGAACTTGGGCTTGGGCTGCAGAGTGAGAGCAGTGAGCATCGACGGAGTGGGGAGGCCGGGCTGGCCGTGCTGTGTCTTGAAGGTGGCTCTGTGTCCCCTGCCACCTACTTCTGTCAGGTTAGAATATTTCATTTAACAACAGTGGGCTCTGGATCTAGATTACTGGGGTTTGGGTAGAAGTTCGCTCTCCTGCTGTGTGGTTTTCTGAAGGTTGCTAGCTTCTCTGTGCTGTAGATTCTTTGAAACCAGGAGACGGTGGTCACAAGGCTTGGCTTGGTGTCTGGTGAAGAGGAAGCGCTCGCTCAGGAGAAAGCCTGGACCAGGAGCCACTCGCTGCCCTTCATCTCTGGCTCTTGAATTGGTTTCTTCTTAAGGGGTGGGGAGTGTCACATGGGAGCCCCACCCCTGACCCTGATTGGACAGAGGAGCACAGGGTGCAGTACAGCCTTGCTGTGGAGGTGTGCCCCTGGTAACTTGGACTGGGCTACGTGCAGCTGTCCCAGGAGCTCCACCTGGCCTGGCCTGGGTTGTGCATCCTCACCCCGTGCCTGTGGTTTCGTCTTATTTGGGAGTGGCTCGTCGTCTTAGGTTTAGGAGGCAGGGTTGGTGTGGGGGCCTCCTGAGCCCATCTCTTGACGTATAAGAGCGTCAACAAGCAGGCAGAGGTGGGAGAAGGGAGACATGCAGGCACAGGAGGGTCGCCCAGGAGTAGAGGTGCAAAAGAGACAAGGGCCTTCCCCCAGTGCCAGCAGCCTGAATTCTGAGGTCCGCCGTCCTAAAGTGAGAGTGCACGTCTGTGTGTGGGGCGGCCCACGTGTGGGATTGCTGTCACAGCTCGATGAGGGGCAGCCATCATGTGGGGTCCTGGGTGGAACCCCTCCCTGTGGATGGCTGAGGGCGGCATTTCTGCGCCTGACAGGCATCTCTCACGGAGCCCCCAGTACAGCTCTCCCGGGGAGAGTTGCCTGGAAGCTTGTTCCCCTGTGGACTCAAAAATAGCCCATGACTCAGAGACCCAGGGGGTTGTCTTTCTCTGCCTCCACTGTCTCCATTGACTCCCTGTGCAGAAAGCGCTCCTCAGAGCCACCCCAGTGACTTTGGTGGGTCTGTTCTAGTGTTTAAACTTGTCCAGCTCTCCATGACACAAAAGCGCTTTGCTTCAGCACCTCAACCCCCCATTGTCCTTGGTTACAAGCGCCCAGTTCCCCCAGGTTCATACTCGTTCTGGAGGACCTAGCCCTCCTTTGAGATGAGCCCCAAGAGCCCGGCAGTTTCTCGTACAGCATACTTGGTTGCAGGCACTTATGCAATCCCTTTGGTCATGTTCAGAGACTTGCAGAGAAGGGGTTTGGCTTTTCCACCAGATGGACATAGCACTTAACTTGTAACCTCTGAGACTGTCCAGACCACTCGTCAGCTAGGGACAGTGAGCAGCCTCCCCTGTCCAGAGGTGCGAGTCAAGGCAGAGTTGGGCCATCCTAGAACTCACAGCTTTTTCTGTGTAAAGGTTGCTGGTTAGCAGCCGGGCTGATATTCAGGGTCAGGGTAGTTGGAGCTGTAAAAACACGTCCCTTGGGAAAGTACAGTGATACGGAGAATTGTTTGCGGAGTCAGCCTTCCAGCGTGGTTCTGCCCCTTGCTAGCCTAGTGCTGCCTTCTCTTGCTTCTGTGTCCCAGTCTGGGCTGGGCCCCACGCCAGACTCACAGGGTGGTTCTGGTGTGAAACTGGCAGGCTGATGTCTGGCATTTAACTCATTTCCCGTCTGCTCACCTGCCCCTGGAGTAACGCTGGGGCCTAGAGCTTTCTGCACATGCTGGGCCTGGTGGGTCAGCCTGGCTCCCTTGGGGCCCCTGGCTTGCCAGCAGGGATAGGGTTGCCCCTGGTAGCTCCACTACAGAGCACATCTATTGTGTCTCCAGGACAACATCTGACATGAACCGGGTGTTCTGCTCCCACTGTGGAAACAAGACCCTGAAGAAAGTGTCTGTGACGGTCAACAGTGACGGCACCCTGCACATGCACTTCTCCCGCAACCCCAAGGTGCTGAACCCCCGAGGCCTCCGGGTGAGTGGTCTTCCGTGTCCCACAACACTGGGATCCAGGCTTGGGGGCTTGAGTCCTAATGACCTGATCAAGGTGGACAGCCCCACTCACCCTTGTACAGCTATCAAGGCTGTAAGCGTGGTGCCGTAGCAGCGGGTCGAGTGCCACACGGCTGCCCGGGAGCTTCGTTTGAGTGGCCGAGATCCCAACGAGAGCAGCATCTGAGTATCAAGAAGAGGGTGGGCTTTGGAGGGGTGAGGCCCGGAGGGAGCTGAAGATGAGCAGGATTTCAGAAGCTCTGGACTAGAGAGACAAGTACGGATGTAAACTGTCTTGGGCACGGGAGAGATTTTTTTTCTTTTGTGTGCTCCTACAATCAGTGTCAACTCAGCACCTTAGGGTTTATCTAGTCTTGTTTAGCCCTGAAGTGCACGCTGTTTAGAATGACCACACACTCAAATCAGAGTTGCTGACAGGTCAGTTCTAGATCGTGGCGCCCCCATGTGCGGATTTTGGAGACTGAGTTTTTCAGAAGTCGATGACCGGGCCTGCAGTTGACAGCATACCTGACCTCTGGATTCGCTGTTGTCACAAGGCAGGCGTCAGACCCGATTCCAGGCTCAGTCCTTCCACCAACCAGCCCTCCCACGGCACTCTACGACTACCCATGCAGGGCTGGATAATTTGTTGCAGTGGCCACAAGGAAGTCACACAATACTCATAACTACAGGGGGTATTAGAGGGAAGTTCCACCCTGTCCTATAGGGTCACAGTGAGTATTAAGTAGGCTATGGCTGGGCCTCTCCGTGGACCAGGAAACCCACCTGTCACTCTCCGCCACAGCCGCGCCCTTTACTGATGCTCCATCTCACAGGCCTTCGCTCTCCTCGGGTGCTGCTCCCTCGCTCTGCAGTCGTTCTCACACACAGCAGCAGTGGCTTGGATGGAGGTTGGTTTTTGTCTTTTAGCCAGCCACACCTCCAAGAATGGTACTCTATTATAATAGAGCCTAAAGAGACCCCACAGGAAACAAGGGCTGTGCTTTGGTTCACACCCTCTACTGAGGTTGGGGGCTTAACTCAGCCTCAGGCCTGTCCGTTAGTGTAGCAGAGAATGCCCTGCAGAGTGAGATTGCAGCCGCAGGCAGAGTTCAACCATAGGGCAGTATGGCTAGGAGAGAGACTGTGTTAATTGATCACATCTCAACATAGAGTCGACATACTATGTTCAGATGGGTTGGTTGGGGTTTTCCCCTTCTGGAGGGGCGGGCTGGGCTCTTACTTTTTTTCAGTACAGTTAGGTTTATTAGTTTCTGTGCAGAAACGCATTTTTGGAAGGAATATAATCTTACCGTTTCTGTTTTAATAGTCTTAGGTTTGTTATCATGTACATGAGGGGAGAATCGCTTACACCCAGGTTCCTCATTTTACGGCTATTAGTGCTTGAGGAAGAGGCTCCTCTTCCCTGTGAGTGGCGCAGACAGTTGTGGTGACTAATGGCACCCGCAGGGTGTGCGGGTCGAACAGAACTGACGAGGTAGAGGACTAAGGAGGGAGGGTGCCTTGTTGGAAATAGTCACCTGATGGAGGTGACCGGTTGTGTCTCCATTAAGGGTGTTCTTCCAGGCTGGGATGAGCAGATGCTCACGAGAACCTGGCAGGCCCCGATGGTAGTGGGCGGATTGCCAGCGCCTCCCTCCCGCCCTCCTTCTATGGAATTGACTGTCTTTTCTCCGGAAGCAGTGGGTTCAGAAGACACTTCACACCAACCACTTTGTGGGTCGAATGACCCTTTCACGGAGGTCACCTAATGAATAACAGTAGCAAAATAACAATTATGAAATAGCAACAAAAATAACATTATGGTTGGGGGGACACCACAGCACGAGGAACTGTCTGAAAGGGTCGCGGCAGGAGGAAGGTGGAGATCTACTGGGTGAGAACCTAGTCGGCTGATGGTTCAGGCGCCCTGGAGGCGGCGGGACCGGGTTTGTAGTTGATCAGCCTTTCACTTTGTGGAGAAAGACGGTCCTGCAGCCTTGGGAACCCTACGGAGCAGCTCCTCTAAGTGGGGGTTTGGGAGGCACATTGCCCACACCAGGATTGTAGGGTGCGTTTCACTTCGACAGGATATGTACAGGTGTCAGCGACTGTGGGTCCCCATTCTTCTCACAGCCTGTCCTCCTGTTTGCAGTATTCACTTCCCACTCCCAAGGGGGGCAAATACGCCACCAACCCTCATCTGACCGAGGACCAGCGCTTCCCTCAGCTTCGGCTCTCCCGAAAGGCGAAGCAGAAGACCAACGTGTTTGCCCCTGACTACACTGCTGGAGTGTCGCCCTTTGCTGAGAACGACATCTCCAGCCGGTCGGCTACCCTGCAGCTCCGAGATGGCACGCTGGGGGCCGGGAGGAGACGGTTAAATCCCAATGCTTCCAGAAAGAAGTTTGTGAAGAAAAGGTGAGGTGGACATGCCCCCCGGCACGTTGGATTGCTGCTTTTGAAGAGTCCGGGTCGCCTTTCCAGCTCTGTCTCCCCCACAATCATCTGGGTGGGAAGAGGGCCCGGCTATGCTGGGCCACCCTGGCCTGTGCACTTGGCAGGCACTGAATGAATTCCTGCCAGGTTGGGTGGAATTTGCTTAAAACAGGACAATGACCTGAAGCATTTCTTTACTCTGGAAGTGGGAATTCACAAATGATAATGTTGCCTAATAAATGTGGCTGCAAGCTTGTGTGTTTTTATTTATTTATTTATTGCCTCTTCGGTCATTTGAAGGCTAGTGTTTAAGGTAGAGGGGCCCTGGGGCTAGGGGATACTCAGCAGGTGGAAACCAGCAGCCCCTCCACAGGAGAGAGAAAAGTGTTTACAGCCTCAGAATGCAGCCTGCACTGTAGGGGTGCAGTGACTCAGAATCCGCCCGCTGGCAGCCAGTCTGAGTTTTCTTTTAAGCTGAGCACCCAATGATTAAGCAAATTGCTATGTGGAATCAATTCTGACTCATGGCAAACTGTGTTTTTCAGTGCCACGACCTTTGGGAAACATTCCCAGGCCTGTCTTCCATGCAAAAATGCCTTGGAATATAGGCCTGAGTTCAGACTCCCAACCCTATGCTCCCTCGTCCCCCACAAAAAGACATCATGTGTTTAGAAATGTGTTATCGCCGATGTCTAAAGGGACTTTTATGGATGTAATAAAGAATCTTGTGAAGGAAGGTTTTCTAGGTGAGCCACTGTAACGACCAGGGGTCTTGACAGAACGGAAGCCAGGAAGGCTCCTGTATGAAATGTGAGCGGGGAGGCCGAGGTTGGAGGGGTGCAGCCCTAACTAAGCCAAGGAGCGCCCGGCACTTCTTGATGCCTCCAAGGGAAGTCCCTTTAGAGCTGCGGGCTTCTGGGACTGTAAGCTCCTAAATTTATATTGTTTTACGACCCTGTTTCTGAAAGTTAATATATACTGTTAGCCTCTGCTGTCACCACTTCCATTCAATAAAATATTCAATAAAATAAAATAAAATATCAATCCAAACCCAAGCCAGAGTAAAGAGGCAAGAAATAAAAGGTATCCAGATTGGGTGGGAATTAAACGATCTCTATTCATGAATTCTGTGATCCTACAGAGAGAAAATGCCATAGCTCACAAGAAAATGTCCAGAACGAATAGGAATGTAGCAAAGTTGCTGGGCACCAGATCGACACCGATCAACACCAGCAAGCAGAGATCTGAAAGGAGCCCTGGCGACACCGTCCCATTGACAGTCACGTCCAGAGAACCACGTGCTGGCTCCAACTCACAGCAGCAACGCCGCCGTGCACAGCCAAACCCTGACCTGGCAGTCCACCCCACGCTCACCTCCCCGTGTCACCATGCCACTGTCATTCCATCCTATGAGCTGTTCCTCTTTCTCTCAGCAGAATGTCCTAAGCAGAGGCTGGTCCCTCCTAAGATCATGTCCAAAGTCCACGAGGTGAAGCCTTCCCATCCTCGTGTCATCTTTTAAAAATCATCTATTGGGGCTCATACAGCTCTTACCACAATCCATACATTGTACATTTGTTGCCGCCTCATTTTTTCCCTCCCTCCCCCACTTTCCCTCCCTCATGAACCCTTGATAATTCGTTATTATTTTTTCATGTCTTACACCGACCGCTGTCACCCTTCACCCACTTTTCTGTTCCCCATCCCCCAGGGAGGAGGTTATATGTAGATCATTGTGATTGGTTCCCCCTTTATCCCCACACCTTCCCCTCCTGGTATCACTACTCTCAGTATTGGTCCTGAGGGGTTTATCTGTCCTGGATTCCCTGTGTTTCCAGTTCCTATCTGTACCAGTGTACATGCTCTGGTCTAGCCAGATTTGTAAGGTAGAATTGGGGTCATGATAGTTGCGGGGGGTGGGGAGGAAGGGAGAAGCATTCAAGAACTAGAGGAAAGTTGTATGTTCATTGGTGCTATACTGCACCCTGACTGGCTCATCTCTTCCCATCCTGATTTCTAAGAAGCCTTCCTCCCAGGTAGACTTGCCTGTTCTGGGAGTTCACGGTATATTCAGTATTCTTCGCCAGCACTAGAAGTACCGGACAGCGCTCACCTTCCAGTGTCACTGATTCCACAGAAGAGTTGTAATCACCAGGGGATGGATGTTTGCAAATTCTCATGATCTCCAGGTGTTTTGGCGTCACAGAAGCTGGATGAATCCCTGAAACGGTTGTCCTGAGACTGTCTTTGAACTCTGAGCCTAAAGTATCCCCTGAGGTCTTAGAGCAGACAGTGGTTAAAAACTAGTTCAAAAACAATGTCTGCCTTGAGCATTATGCTCGTTTAAGATCTAACTATGGGATCAAAGTGATACCAGCAACTCTAAAAAGATTGGATAGGACCTTAGGGGGCAGAGAGTTCATGGGGTTTTTAATGTTTTTGTTTTTCCGAGTTTATGTTAATGGGAAAGGAATAACTCAGAACTCCAAGTGTAATCAATGTCACATAAACGAGTTGGTATATATTTTGCTGTGTATATTCTTAAAAATAAAGCGTAGGCATAAAGTATAACATTATTTTAAAGAAAAACATATAGTACAGTTTGACTTGATGTTTTTTTCACTAGAAATGACCCTGTGGATCCATTTTAGATACTCAAAATGCCTGGGTTGTAAAGGGAAAAGAAAAAACTCAGAGCAAGTGTTAAGAGAATTGGCACAAGCAGACAGCTGGCTCGGCAGGCAGGCAATCAGCTTCCATAAAGTACAGCCAAAAGAAAGTCCACATGACAAGAGCTACTAGGTCACAAGGCACTGTGAATAAGAATCAACTCTGGGGCACAGAGCACCCCACATCCTTGCAGGGAGGGAATAGAAAAGGTGTGACTGCTGTCCCACCGAGGCCACTAAGTGGTGACAAACTCCCTGCCACAGTCAAGGCTACCTCAGCGACCCATCCGATAGGGCAACCCTACCCCTCTTTGCTGTAACTCTTGACAGGAGTAGAAAGCCTGGTCTTTCTCCCAAGGAGCATCTGGTGGCTTCAAACTGCTGGCCTTGCAGTTAGCTGCCCAACAAGGAACCATTGAAAGAGTAGCTGGATCGAATTGCACATTGAAGGTTTTCCTGAATGTTTCCATGACTCCAGGGGCATGGGGTAAAAAAAGGAGAAATCCTATACAGGCAGCCCTTCCAACCCCAACATTACACAATTCTCTTCCCCTGGTTTCTCTTCTGGTGGCCAGCAGAATGAGACCTACAGAGAAGGTGGCCAAGGACGGCTTCCCGGAGAACCACCTGTCTGTCGGTCCTCGGAATTCTTTCCCCGCCCCTCTTGCTTCCTGATCTCACCCAGGTGCCTTAGAAGGATTCCACTTCATAGGGGTACAGAACTTCACTAAAGAAAACTGCCGAGGGTTTGCACATTATTTAAAAGGATAGCCATGACAACTACATGAATTTTTTTTTAAACAAGTCTCAGAAGGGCAGTTCTACCCTGTCCTGTAGGGTCACTGTGAGTCAGCATTGACTGAATGGCAGTGTGCCTGGAGTTTTTTGAATGCAACTTAAACACACTGGCTGCAACAATGGGCCGTCCATAAGAACAACTGTGAAGTCGGTGCCAGACCGTGTTCTTTTGCCTTGACCACATCTAACAACAACAACAAACACTGTAAAATAAATAAATTGATTAAGCCACCTGTAAACCTATTTGAAAACCGAGACTAGGCTCCCGTTTTCCTTTCCGCTTTTATCCACACTTGCAGTTGGGGGATAGCAGGGGGCTGGATTCAGCTGAAGGCCCCTTCAATGTCTGATGGTGTGCAGCTGAGCTCGCGCTGGTAGCTATCACCTCACCGACAGCGGCCTCTGCGTGTAGTCCGCTTCCTCAGCCTGGTGGTGGGTTCACTTGTCAGCAGCCGGAGAGACATACAGGCAGAAATCCTTTCATTTTGTGATCTAGTGTTGGAAGTCACACATCATCACTTAGGCAAATTTTTTGGTTGGGGCAGTTATAACTGGTGCATGTTAAAGGGAAGGGGAATTAAGCCCCGTGTTTTGACGGAAGGAGCTGCTAAGGTTTTGGAAAAGCAGGTGAGATTGAAAATACTGCTAGAAGGAGTCAACTAAATCCACATGGAAGAATCACACGGGCCTGTGGCATCCAAGGATTATATGTAAAACCCAAGTCTGAAGTTGGGAATGGTATCAGCTTAAATTGTGAATTCCTTGTTTCCAGAAGACTGTGGGTGACAGTGAAAGCCCAAAAATCCGTTTGCAGGGTTCCCACACAGACTAAGTCTTTAGTCAACCTCCTCTGGCTATAGAGGGATGTGAAGAGCCTTGCTGACACACAGCATTGTAAAGTCCATTATGTTTTGAGAATGATGAGGGCAACGAGTGTACAAATGTCCTTTACACAATTGATGTATGTATGGACTGTGATAAGAGTTGTATGAGCCCGTTGCAATGTAATAACCTGGCGGCGGGAGAGGAGCCGAACTGATACCAAGGACTCAAATAGAAGATGTTTTGAAAATGATGGCAACAAATGTGCTTGATACAATGAATGGATGGATTGTGATAAGAGTTGTACGAGCCCCCAATACAATGATTTTCTTTAAAAGAGACAGGTTCTCCTGCTACTGAAGTGCCAGTCCCTTGAGGGCCAAGGGTTCACTTTGTCACAGTGCCACCCTTCACCCTCATATTACACAGTGCCACCCTCATGGACACAGTAGGAGCTCAGCAAATAGTTATTGTCATATTCATTAGGCAGTCGGTACAGCCTTTTTAAAGCCAATGTACTTAGCTCCATTTGCTATGTAAATACGTTTGAACTAGTTGGCCTGAAGCACAATTTTCTAACCGTCTGGTGTGGCGCCCATCGGTGGGTATTGGAAGCGGTGCCAGAATACTAGCTAGATGGTGCAGAAACATTTCAGGGTGTCTTTACACTTGGAGTTGGGTTTATAAGTCACCTAGTCTCACTTCTGACCAAGATGGCGTAAAAGGGACCGGATGTATCCTCCTGACTGAAACAAAAACCAGATCAGATAGAATCAATGAAACAATCATTTTCAGACATCAGGACAGCATCCCTGAGGAGGCAGGGGTGGTGGTGGTGGGATACGAGCAACAAGCACCACATTGGCCCTGGTTTTCTGTCCAGAGAGATTTCCAGATGCAGCACAGGGAGCCAGAGCCCTTGTGGAGCCTAGAGTACCCAGTTTAAGAAACCGAATTGTCAAGTCCAGGGAGGCCAACACACCTGGAATACAGACAAGACTAGAGAGAAAACTCCAGTCTTGATAGAGGTTTTCTGTTTTGTCTAGTCATTGTGGTTGGTGGGTTGGTTGGCTGTTTTTTCCTTCCTATTATGTTTTATATTGTTTCCTACATAAGAAATCCAGGACGGGTAGGGCTATAGACACAGTAACTGGATAGGGGCGCGGAATGGGAGCTAACAGCACCGGGTATGAAAAGAAAACGTGCTGAAAAGGATTGCGGTGAACGTTGCACAAATCTTAATACGATGGAACAATGACATTGTATGGTCTGTGGGGCATATGCCAATCAAACTACTTAAAACCACAAGCCCCACAGAGAGAAGGTTCTAGAGATCTACAGAGAGTCCCCTGGAGGCTTCAGCATCTGCGTGAGGAGCCAACAGGGCTGGCAAGAGACATCCCCAAGAGGAGCAGAGCCAACATGCCTTGGCTTTCACACAGGCGAGGGACAGCGCCAGGTCCCACCACCAAGTAGAAAACTCCAGCATTCCTGGGTATCAGGTCCAGGGCTCCGGAGTTGGGAAATATTATCTCTAGTCTAGACCAAAGGTTGCTCTGGGCCCATTCAACAAAGCAAGCCGCAAATGGTTCACCATCCCAGGCCCCACCCAACCACACAACGCCCAGAAATCCAATCCCAACCTCTGTCTCAAAGGTGAGGCTCTGCAGTCCCTTGGCACCCAGCCTGAGGAGCCACCACAGCGATGGAGGCACAGGTTGGCCGTGTGGTGAACATGTAAGTGGATGCCCGATGGCGAGGGCTGGAAATCAGATGCACACTCAGCACCTTGTGAGCCCTCATTTTTCCATCCATGGGACAAGTTCTCACAGGCTCACCAATTGCCAGTGACTCGGTCCTGACTCAAGGTGACCACTTAGGAGTAGGCCCACTGAGTAAACTTGGGCTCAAGAGGATTAGCTGTGGCCTATTTTGGGGGGGGAAGTTGAATGCTCAGCCTTTCAGCTAAGGAAGCTCTATGTGGCCACAGACCTCCAATCTTTGGTGAACAACTGAGCCCTTCCAAACCACTACCCTATTCACTGCTGGTAGCCTTTATTGTGCAGCAGTGGGGGGAATCCGCCTCTGCTGGCCCCTGATATCTGTACCCCAGAGCTGGCCTCAGAGTTCACTGGCCTTGATTAAGAACAGCCTAAGGCAAAGCAAAGGGCCTTGGTGGCGTAGTGGTCACCCATTGCTAATGGTAAGATGGGCAGTTTGAAACCACCAGGTGCTCTTCGAGAGAAAGACAGGGTTTTCTACTCCCATAGAGAGTTAACAACAGT